GTGATCTACCCAATACGTATTGTAGGCCTTTCTAGGTGTAACACACCATATTGCCTCCCCATCTGAGAATAACAGGTGTGACGTTAATAAACTGATTTAACTCTAGATATTTAGACTCTTTATAATTAGATTCATGTCAAACTCTTTCAAATATATATATAACTAGGTATACCTAGTACTTAGTTATGTTTAGAAGTTCTTATGACGAGGAAGTATAAAAAGGTTTAGTCTAGCTTTTTCTGTGTGAAATCGGCTAGCTAAATACTAAATATAATATAGGTACGTCAAATATTCCATACAACTAATGACCAACGGCGCCTACTCCATAACTGGATAGGAATGTACACAAAACAAACAGTTATCGCAAATATGGAAGTTTGCGTAAAACATTCCATCATAATATCGTTACGGTTATTAGATGTTATGGTGCAATCTGGCGCGCCTAACCTGTGGACTTTAGTGGCCATTCAAAATGTGATCCGACGGCATATTTGTTTGAGGTGGAGCTGAGCTTACCTTGGTCCACCGCCCTTTAGCCCCCGCGTTTCAAAATGGCGTCACCTGTTTGAGTTTAGAACTCGTCTATTATTCTTCGAGTGCTATAATTATGATCTGTGGTTTAGAATGTTAGATTTGAATACAATTTGAAACCTGGTCAATGTTTCTATTCTTGATCTAAGTTTAACTCAATGGTTTCTATGTTATCTTTTTGTTAATAATCTCTTCTAGTAAACCTGAAAAAAAAATATTCCCATCCCTCCTCTCTGGAAATACCCCTAAACAGCATTAAACTAGGCACAACAGAAGAGATACTGAACCAGCTTTGTTGAATTCTTAAAAACAAAGCGAAAATCTAAGAAGATACTAGGTGAACCACATTGCATTTGTCAACTAACGACACAGATATCTCTCATCAGAGCATCAGTTTATTTATATGTTCTTTGTCAACAAGAGCAGTGGCCAGTGGCAGTCGTGCCAGTTGACGGTACGGCAGTCACGTACACGCATACACACGCAGAGTCAATGACTGACGTAAGACGACAGATTAATGAATTAACACGTAGGATGGATGGTTTGATTGGACTATATAGAACTAAGATATAGACTGCCCTATTTCCTGGACACGATTGATATTGCATATCGCTATATTCACACACATAGTAAAAGGAAAAAATAAAGATTAAATTAATATAGAGATATAATTATACTTACTGTTTTTTATTATTGTATCGTGAGTTTACGTGTCCTTTAAACATACACATGACACCCAGACCCGGAACAACAATTTGTGGATAACACAAAGAGTTGTTCTGTGCGGGAATCGAACCTGCGACACGTTCCACGGCAGCCAATTGCCCAGCTACCGCGCCAACCGTGCAATTGCCTAAAGTACCTACTTCCATTATAGCTGGGCAGATATATGAACTGCACTACAACAGACAAAGTGCAAGTGACTGGGCCACTGCTCAACGAGTTACGAGTTCAAGGCTCGCACAGAGCACATCTTGGATGATCTATGAAAGGCTGAAGTGTTAGTACCTACCTTCACAAAAACATCTGTTTACCAGCTTAATAGACCATGACAGGAAAAATTAAAAAAAAAACACTACGGTAAAAACTAACCGAAGAAAAACACTGGGATCTCGATCATTGTGTAATATATAAATACCACTGATAGATTGCCTCGTTGGCCGTGTGGTCGCAAGTGCTACTGCCGGGCAAGGGATCTCGGGTTCGATTCCCGGGTCGGGCAAAGTATTACTGCGTTTTTTTTTTTATTCTCAGTAGTAGCACGGAATCTGGAATTGTGCCCGATATATGGCAATAGAGTCACCCCCTATTACATGGGACATAACATAGTATCACGCCTTTTATCCCCGAAGTGGTAGGCAGAGGTGCATTACATGGGACTCATAACATAAATAGTGAGAAGTGGGTGTTACATTGTACAGTGGCATAATGTGCACCTCTGCCTACCCCTTCGGGGATAAAAGGCGTGACGTTATGTTATGTATGTATATATAGATAATTATACCATACATAAAGTCCAATAGTTATTGGCAACAGGGGACTATAAACAACAAAACAACTCTTGCATCAGACGGTACAGTCGTCACGTACACTCGTACACTCATGGTGCACGGCATGCCCACCCAAATACTCGAGGTTAGTAACCGGCCTTTATACGTACTGCCGTATTTTCAGCTGCCAAGCGACACTGAACGAGTCATCATACTCATTTAGGTACCTGATTGTTAAGAAAACATTGTTGGGGAAAGTCCCGTAACGCCGGACGGCACCTAACGCCGGACACTTGTATTATCTCGATAACTGATAACACGAGCGATTTAATTTTTACTTAAAATCTAAGGTATCTGCCACTGGGAGACTTCTCCCTAAAAATTGAATCGCTCGCGTTATTAGTAATTGAGATAATACAAGTGTCCGGTGTTAGTTGTCGTCCGGCGTTAAGGGACTTGAATTCACCTGGTTTTCCTCTTTTCTCCTAGTAACATTATTGTATTCAGTTTAGCAATGCCCGCTTCCACTATCCTATCCTAAATTTTAAGAGACCTTTAAACTAATATAGGTGATACTTAAAGTGGTTTTCACCGACCTTTAAACTGTCAAACACCAAGCGGTCACCGGTGACCGCAGCCTATTGTTCTATAATTGTGTCTACAAAACCGGTACTCGACGAGTTAAGAGACACCTAATAGTACAAGTTAGGAGTTAATTTAGGTGCTCCCTTGCGCTAAGTAAAAGTTTGTTAAGTAATAGTCTAATGTTTTTATTTTTTAAGTGTATCGACATCAATATTTCTTTTATAAACCAACTAACCTACGTTTAAAAAAACGACATCAATCCCGTATTTTTTGATGTCGGTTAAATTAATATACTAAATCTCCTAAGTGTAACCATCACTTTTGCAATCCCGTACATCATCATCATCATCAACAGCCTATAAATACCCACTGCTGAGCAAAGCCTCTTCTCACATGGAGGTTTGAGCATTAATCACCACGCTTGCTCAATGCGGGTTGTTGATTACAAACTTATAATTAGAAATTATAAGCCTAGGTTTACTCACGATGTTTTCCTTCACCGTTTGTCAGTGGTGTCTAAATAATCTTAGAAAGTACATATAACTCGGAAAAAGTCACATTGGTACTTGCCGTTGGTAAGTTTCGAACCCGCACCCTCATGCATGAAAAGCGAGCGTCTTAAACCTCCAGGCCACCACGACTTCCAAATCAATCCCGCACATACAAGTGAAACTGAGTCCTTTTTAAGTCGGTTGAAAAGGAGGTTATTTACGTAGGAATTGTAATTAGGCCACACCTCACCCCTGTGACAAATAACAAGCTTAAATTTATGTACTATTTGTTTACTCATTAATAATTATATTATTTATACCACCTTGGCATATGTGTGGGAATTTTATGAATGACTAAACGTAGGTACATACAACTATATAGGTACTAAGTACTGACGCAAGGTAATTTGAATGAAATGAATTATTTGCTATTAAACATACTAGACGTCTTTTTTTTAAGGGGGGAAAATCATCAAATGTCTGCTCCCGCCCGGGTGAGGCGGGAGGGAGTATCAGACTCTTACTGACTAAAAACCACCCCGTTCCTTCTCCTGTCGAGCCGGAGCCCCGGTTACTCGTTAGGTTCTCCGCGACGACGTCTAAGGTAGTAAACAGTCGATTTATCCATGTTTACTATGTTAAACGTCATATTATAACGATTATTTTTAAATAGGAAAGAGCATAACGTAACTTCTTAAAAAACAACATGAATTTAAGAAGATATCTAGTATTTTCTGTCACAGCGTTGGGAATACGGTATTTGACAACTAGTCAAATTCAATACGTTTTTCGAACTGTTAAAAACGACAGTTTTCTATGAATTTTGTACGAGATTGTGAATTGTGACGTCGCGTTTTTTAGCGTCAAACAGCGTACTTATTTCTTAAAATTTAGCTGGAAAAATATTAAAATTAAGTTGGTCATAAAGTCAATTAATGAAAGTGTGATTATTTTTTAATATTTTATTGTATTGAACAGTCGAAATTATTTATTGTTGATTAAGGCAAGTACCAATACAAAATTCATAGAAAACTGTCGTTTTTGACAGTTCGAAAAAAGTATTGAATTTGACTAGTTGAAAAGTACCAATATTTAAATAATGCCGCCATGCCTTTTTGCCTCGTGCTTTTGAAGAAGGAACTAACGCGTTTGTTCAGGATTTCAAAAGTTCTAGTTAATGATGATAGGAAAATGTAAAAAAAACAATAAAATTCGATTCAAACAGTTTAATACGTGGTCATCTATTGAAGATACATTTAATAAATGGCATCTAAGTACATTACAAGTATATTCATGAATATTCTGATTTAATTAGGAACACAAAATAAATGTTGAGATCATTTCACAATAGTACATAACCATCACTGGGAAGATACATCAGCTATACCCAAAAAACTATTTCATAAGTTCTGGTTCTTACCTCGAACCACGTCAAAAAAAGTTGCATACACAAAAAAATATATAAATAATCACAAGAGATTCACTGTGCAGTCTTATTTTTTTCCATTATAGGAGATATGTATATGGCATCAGTTTTATATAATTAAAATCATAAATGAGAAAAGCAGCACTGTGAAAAACAAAAAACGTGTTACATTGGCGCTGTAGTCGATTAAAAGCGACACAATAATAGTAAATAGTACGATTAAAATAGTTCTCTCAAATTCCGCAATATGGCGGATATTTTAGAACTTTGTAAATAAAATTAAAGTGTATATCATAAAATTAATTACGTTTTCTCAATTTGATATGTGACTATGAATTTAAAACTCACTTTGAACGTTAAATTCAGTTTGTATCGTTAAGAACTGAGGCCTTAGTACGAGTTTGTCTTACGTTTAAAGTAATCGTAACGAGTACGCGTTCGGCGCTCTGATTGGTTGCTTCATTGGCGCCGGCCAATCAGAATGCCGAACGCGTACTCGTTTCGAATACTTCAAAACGTAAATCAAACTCGTACTAAGGCCTCTGTTACGTACAAATCAAGGATAATATTGCGTTTACAACTGAATTGTAATATACAATTTGTTTTTGTGCCATAAATATATGTCGTATATCTATGATATGCTTTAAAAATGTTCACCAAAATCATGTATGTTCATATGACAATTAAAAGTTACAACCATAGAATAAAATAAAATAAATTAACTTACAAAAATAAAATTAAAAACGAGATCGATTAAGTCTAGGTTTCAGAAAAATAATCACGAGTATAAATTATATTAATAATAAATTATTATAATACATATTACGATGAGTAAAGTTTTATTCAAAATTGATATGCCTCTGTTATCTTACATTAAAAATAATCTCAAATTAGTCACATAATATCTTAATGCCTCCTGTACTTATACTTACAAAATAATTTAAATAATTCATTATTTTTATAATAACTATCGTATAATTTATAATAGACATACTAAATTAAATAAATAATCGTGGGTTACTCACGTGAATATACTTAGACAATCTCTACTAATTTCGAGCCACAGACGGGCTCTATAACTGCGCTAGGCTACGCGACATCGAAGAGTCCCTGTGTGGCTCGAAACTAGTTGAGCTTTTCTCAGTATATTCACGAGAGTAACCAGCTAATTTCAGTTATTTCATTATTATTTTATGCTTGCTTCGCTCGTTATTTGTAACTTAAACAATGTCTTGAAAGTCGCAAAGGGCCTATTGGAATAGAGTTGTTCCCTCTAGTGGTTGTATTAGCTACTCGATAGAAGTATTGATTTGATAGTCATTCGAATATGACTTAGCGCCGTCATTTAATGTTCACTTAACCCAATCGAATTATTTTCGGAACAAAATCGCTAAGGAATAGTTTAAGTAATCATTATAAACTCGGTGGCGACTTAGACTCAGTGGCGACCTCTATATCATTGAGAAAAAGCCAGGAGTGCTACCATACAAGAACGATGCCTTAAAAATAAAAGTCGTTCCGCCTTTTGCATTAATTTTTGGAGTCCATATAGTAAAACATTTACAAATAAATATAAGTACACATACATAAATAAATACCTCATAAAAATTTCATTTGCAGCTGCACTTTCACTTAATTACAAAGTACTTAAAACATAAATAAATAATAAAAATGATCGACAGGTACATAAAAAATCAATAGATATGTTTCGAGTTCCCATAGCTGGCGCACGCGTCTTTGAAATTGGTCACGTTGAAACTAGCGAAATAATCGTCGTGTATAAACCGCACAATATTCTCTATAGGACAAAGATATGTATTGTAAATCTTTACGTCATCGATCGGGTCAACGACCTTCATAACCACGTTCTGTTTAGACTTGCAAAAACTCAATCTATTTGTGACATCCTCCCCGTTGTAGACCACTCTAAAATAAAAATCTTGTGCGATGGCTTTTCTTTTCGTGAATTTGAATTCGTCTCGCAAATCCTTTTTTCTGTAAACTTCGAATATCATTCGTGATGCGTACTGTATGTTGTAGTGTTGATAGTTGTGGAGGCCGAGGGCTAGTATCAATGCTTGCAGTGTTTTATCATGACCAGAATACACGACAAACTTGGGCTTATTCTCAGATATCATTCGAATCATATTCTGAACAATATTGTGTATCAAACCGTAGGCTACAAGCAGTCCTCTTCTTCTATTATGCACGTTTTTAATCTCCTGTCGATAACTCCACTCTAAATACGCGAACAAGGACATTACATGTTCCTTTTTGATGCAGAAATCTTCGGAACTCTCTGGGGTGGGTTCTTTATAGTCTTCGTCAAAGTCCGTGTCCATTCGGGCGTCGTTCGGAAAATTGAAATCTGCGTCTAAATTCTTCTTTACAATAACTACGTCTTCGTAACCGTCCGCGTTGTCCAAGTACCGCTGTTGGTAGTATAACAACTTCTCCCTTTCCATTTGGGCGTCAAAGTCTAGAGGGGCCTTCTTACTGTCATAGTACTTGCCTATAATGTCCCTCGCTTTTCTACCTATTTCGTTATTGAAGTCCATTTGATTATTTATGTAGTCTAATTCCATATTCAACGTGTCTATGTCTACGTCCAAGATCTTTCTAGAAGGAATGGTGTTTGGTCGAAATTTTTTGTGTTTTTTGTCTAATGAGAGTTTTGGCTTACTTGGTGGCTTCGGTTTCTCCGTGCATGGGAGGGCGGCGTCGTGGCACATGTACGCGAGGAGGGCGTCCCTCACTACGTCTGCATCAGGGTGTTCTTGAGATTCAAACAGTACTTTGGACAGTTTGCTGACTAGCTCCTTGATTGCTGGGTGAGATTCGAGACGGTTCTTCGCTTGCGTGTTTATTTTTCTGAAAGTTTATGAGAGTTCATTTTAATTGAAATTTGTCCTTCTTGAAACCTTCTGTACAGATGGTGGTATTTCAGGATATTTTTTATTGTAACTTGAAACAGAATAATAAAACAGACTGCCTCGTTGGCCGAGTGGTCGCAATTGCGACTGCCGGGTAAGGGGTCTCGGGTTCGATTCCCGGGTCGAGCACAGTATTACTGGTTTTTTAAAAAATTCTCAGTAGTAGCACGGAGTCTGGAATTGTGCCCGGTATATGGCAATAGGTTCACCCCCTATTACATGGGACTCATAACATAAATAGTGAAAAGTGGGTGTTACATTGTAGGTACATTGGTATAATGTGCACCTCTGCCTACCCCTTCGAGAATAAAAGGCGTGATGTTATGTGAAACAGAATAATGTCAGGGTATACTGACTTGTTAAGCGCATGATGAGCTGCGCAGGCGCAGTCTCTGAAGCAGAATGCGACGCTGTGTGCCTCCCGCGCCGGCGCCGCGCGCGCGCCCGCCCCGCCCCGCGCCGCGCCGTACCACAGCCCCACCAGCGACTGGTACGTACGACGGTAGCGGGTGCTGTACGATATTACTTCACCTAAGGAATATAGCAATGTTGTATTACTATTACAAAAAAAAATAACTATAGAATTTACTATGTAAACGTTTCGAGGATCCTCGACTAGGTTCAACTAGTTTCAGGTCATATCGGGGCTCACAACTATTAGATGAAAGACGAACGAATTTGCGCAGACTTTCTATAACAGTTTACATTGTTTTCGTATTGTTGTTCAATCGAGGGTTGTAGTCGTACCACGGATTATAGCAAATTAACGTGTAGTTAAAAGACTGGGTGCATAGCCTTATTTCACTTACCAGTATCCTTTTTGCCCTGTGGTTCCACAACCTCCAAATTCAGTTTATCGCCGTACGCCTCCCTTAGAATGTTACCTGAAAATCAATATATTAATAGTTAGTTCAAATAGGGTTCCTTTGTCACCGGATATAGAATAGAAGAATCGGCTGGATGACGTCACATGAATAAAATTAAGTACGTATATGTGTGGCGACACATGGTACATGTCAACGGATGACGTCACAAAAATCCTACATCGCACATGCAAAGTTTACATGCAAATTAACAGGGACAGAAAATCCCAACGAACAACTGCTGGGCAAAAAGCCCGCCAGGCACGATCACATCGCCTGGTCGCAGGATCCTCCTTTTCCGATATTAGGGAACTATACGCTCCGTTCCCTAAATATGTATTATCATGTGCTACAGACCACTGTCTGCCACAACAAATCATCACACCAATATTAACAATTTGAAAGTTTAACGAAAGCAAAACTCACCAACAGTGATCATCTGCAGTATTCCACGAGGAGTGAGCTGTCCTAACGCGCACCTAGTGCCGGCCGCCCGCGCTGGTAATGAGGGGAAGTTGTGGAAGGGACCCGCCACCGACACCCACCACGCCCGCCCCGTCGAACTGGAGTTGGCTACGAACTCCTCGTAGCTGAATGTGGAAAGAATCAGTCAAACATCATTCGCAATCAGCCTATAATTTTATTATCCTACTGCTGTACTGCTGATAAAAGAACTCTTGTCACCCAGTACAAGAACAAGTTGGAAAGGAGTCAACATTTCAATTTTCTATTGCATTCAAGATGTAGAACTTTTTTTTTAACGTTGCCCCACATTAGGATTTTCTCCTGTGTCGTGGGTGCGTTTACAAACATACAAGTTCACATACACAATGACACCCAGACCAGAAACAACAATTTGTGGATCACACAAAGTGTGATCTACAAATTGTGTAGATCACACAAAGTGTTGTTCCGTGTGGGAATCGAACCCGCGACCCGCGGTTGCCCAGCGGTGGCTGGCACCAACCGTGTAGTCAACTAAGTTTTTATTGTAAACTAGCTTCTGCCCGCGACTTCGTACGCGCAATCCTGTTTTCTCCCGTTCCGATTTTTGCCTTCTCCTGACAATAACAAACACAACAAAAAAAAGATCAGCCAAATCGGTCTCGCGGTTCTTAAGTTATGGCGTGACAACGGGAAACGAGTTTCATTTTTATATATATAGACTTGTAATTAGATCTCAATGTGACCCCATCGGACACAGCAGTATGTTTAAAAAGTGTTAAGAACTTTAATTTTTCTCAGTATATTCACGTGAGTAACCCGCGATTTTTATTTAATCTAGTATGTCTCACGATAGTTATTATAGAAACCAAATTGTTGCAAAAGTCTCGAATTTTGTAAACAATCGATTGTCTGACTGGTGCACCTGGACAATTTCCGTGTGAAACAATACTTAGTTCACAATTTGTTTGTCCAAAATCGAGTGACAATTTATAAATATGATCATGATGATGTTTCAAAACAGATCAATTAGGACTACCGAATTTCCCTTACACGATGTTCTAATTCTAATGTGGCGTACGGTCTGTTTTTCCAATCACTATAAAGGCAAAATCAAAGTCAAAATCATTTATTTCAATTAGACCAGGAAGGCACTTTTGAACGCCAACAACAAAAAAATTTAGAAGTGAAGCTTTTTTTTTGAGGGGGGAAAATCATCCAATGACTTCTCCCGCCCGGGTGAGGCGGGAGGGAGTGTCAGACTCTTACTGACTAAAAACCACCCCGTTCCTACTCCTGCACTTCGAGCCGGAGCCCCGGCAACCCGTTAAGTCTTCCGCGGCTCCGTATCGGCATCAGCCCTGTTAGGCCCCATCTGTGGTGGTCTGATGGCTCCTTGAGGCGCGCGCGGAACGCGACGCGCCGTACGCTCGGGCCTGGTTCTGGTCGGGCGGCGAGTCACCCGTGCTCGCCGTCCGCAGACCCGTGCTTACAGTGGCCGGAGATCGTCTCGCGATCCCCGACGTCCGGAGTGTCTCTCGCGACGGCCGGGTCGTGAGGAGGTTCGTTCCCTCACGCGCTCCGCCTCCTCCTTAGCTAGCATGACTGCTTCGCAGAAGGAGGAGACGGCATCCCAGTGCCCCTCGCTCCGTACCATGGTCTGAACCAGAGCCGGACGCGAGAGGTCGCCGTCGCCGATCACATTCCTGAGGACACGGCGATGCTCAGTCCACGCAGGACACACCGCCACCGTATGCTCCGCCACACTGTCCTCCGGGCGATCCTCGCAGTGATGACACCCGGGCGTTTCTTCCCTCCCAATCAGAAACAGGAACCTACCGAAACTTCCGTGTCCGGTAAGCACCTGCGTCAGGCGGTAGGTGAGGACGCCGTAGCGTCTCTCAAGCCACTCCTCAAAGAGGGGACTTACCGCTGCAATGACAGCGAGCCCATTAGAAGTGAAGCTACTTAGTTGCTCATTCCAAGGTGTAGATTCTTATGGAGAAGAACGAGCAAGAAACTCCATAGGTTACTCTTTTTCAATCGGGTTTACAATACAATTCTCTAGTTACATAGTTTTGTTGGTTGCAACACCTAAATGCAGTCAAAGAGATTTAAAAAGAAAATAACCTTTAGGACCATAAAATCATTCAGTCTGGAGCTGACCAGTCCCAATTGACGGCGCCCGTTCACGAACATGGCACGTACCCCAGCACCGCCCAACTCAACCATTTTGTAGGGAATCGAGCGATCCAATGTACGTGCCACCACCAATGAGATCTTTGAGTGAGACGACTCCTACTAACTATAGCTGTCAAAACATGGTTTCCAGGATCTAATTACCTTTTCAGGAGTGGTGAGACGGGGTCTGCATCGCATGGCAGTTTGTCACCGTTTTTGAGATGTGTCAGTGGACCCCTGTCTCCGTGTCGCGTCACTACTAAAGCGCCCTGCAGCATCCATGTGTCACTGTCTACCACTCCTGAAAATGATATTTTAGATGATATTAATATTTGTGCAACCCACAAATTAGTTGTTCCGGGTCCAAGTACAATATGGACTTAATAATGATGTAAAAATGCGTTTATTAACAAATTGATTATGTTCTACGGATCATTGACGCAATTAATACACTAGACAACTCGACTAGTTTCAAACTCAGAGGGAGCCCATAGTGACGAATAGCATTGTGTGACAAACAATTCGGAAAGCTTTACACTAAATTGGCTACTCATATCCAACGGCTCTTAACATTTTGAGTAATATATTTTTAATATAATACTTTGTAGAGAGGACTTTCTAACCTTCAGACCCTCTCACGATGCTGTCTGGAGGGTTGCAAGCTCTCAGGTAGATCCTCCGGAACTTGGCATCACTCTTTGATAAGTATTCATTGCGTACAATCTTCTTGGCTGCTATTGTCTCTTCCCCCAAGGACATGTACTTATACATAACTGGAATATAAAATATTTAAAACATGTATAACATTTACTTTGCATTAAAGTTCTATTTCTGTTTCATTATTTTTCCTCTTTCAAATTAAATTCTCTCAAAAAATATTTTCTCATAATTATAGAATTTAATGGCTCAATGATATATTTTACACAACAATTATAAGTCAAGTACTAAAAATTTATATAGAGCATATAAAAATAATTAGTTTTAAGTATTAATTAACTAACAGGAATATTCCTGTTTTATCCCATGGGAGCATTTAATCGGAATAAAAAGTATATTATCACCTAAGTCACCCCATACCTTGCCTGTATACCAAATTTCATCAAAATTTGTTCAGAAGTTTCAGCGTGGTTGATGGACAAACATCTTTCAGCTGTTGATGATGATGATAACTTACAGTGGCAGTGGGCGCAGGGAACCTAACTTATTGTTGGGCCTTGGGTCCATTGTGATGACTTCAAGCAATTTGAAATTTATTTACTTTTTTGTGAAATTATTAAAGCTTTTCTAAATGTGAAATTTTTTTCATGTATGTCTTCCATAGCAGCCAATAGATTCATGTAATTTGAATCATTGATTTTCTTGCAATTGACGACAAAGCCCTTGTTGATGCAGTGCTAACACAAAAGCATTATTTGTGGTGTGCTAATGCACAGAAAAGAAATCCACAGTGACATTTTGGAGCTAAGTTAAAATTCATTATGCTTAATAAGTTGATATATTATACCCAAAATTTGTTCATACAAAAGCAGTCTCTAAACATTAGAAATAAGGTCTTTAATGGAGTAAGTGGAAGGTGTTCGCTGGTGACTTCTTGGGGATTGAGCAGTTAAATGGAAAACAATGTGTATTTGAGGGCCTTTGTTGAGGTGTCATGAGACCTTTTTAAGACCTTAGGCAACAGCCTACGCCACCCGCACCTACCCCTGCCATAGTTTTTAGCTCTTTTATAAATAAAGTTATGAAAAGTTATTAAATTTAAATAAATACTTTTATTGTATACTTATGTACTATATTACAAGTGATCGGATCACTTTTTTTTAAACAAGAGTTCATTTATAGAGTGTTATTATCATTGTTCCTTATCTACAACTCCCAAATGAAATAATCATACATTATATATTTAAATTAATATGTTCTTAATTTCTTATCTTGATAATGCAAGGACAAATAATCTTCACGATAACTTACATAATATGTATACGCAATTCAACAGAACAATCTTGGGTTTTTATTTATTCCTAAATAACTACATTTTATTTATAACACAAAATTAAAGTCAAGAGTTCTTACCTGTAATTAAAAAGAATATCCAAACACTCATCCCAAGATAACAATAAAAAGCTCTATGGTGAAATGAAAACTTCATCATTTCTGTTATAATTTTACTTCTATTAGCGAAAATTGTAGACATTGTTGATATTTTAATACATCTTCTAATAAAATTTAAATGTATGGTGATGATACTATTTAGATTACATTTTTAGTTTTGATGAGAAAGGGAGTTAAATAAACTTATAACCGACCCACAAAACGAATGATACAAGACAGATATATATTATCATTGTGAAAATGGAATGTTTTGCGCTTTGCTGTATTTTTTGTAAACAATTTTACAACAACAATCGATTGCGATGATAACTTTTGACGCCTGCCTACTCAATGACATAAATAGAGAAGTCATCATGTATTTTTTATTCTTCAAGGTAGGGGTCCATTTGATTTCGAAGTCCATCTAGTTTATTTATATCATAATGAGAATATTAAAATTAAATAATGTCTTGCTAATTAGCAGTTCAATTAAATTGACTGCTTATTAAAAAGTATTTATAATTTTAAAATTAGTTCAACTAAACTATTAGGAATAATAACACAACATTTCACTATTTCAGAACGAACAAAAACTGTCAATAATCTGACAGTTACAATTAAAATAAAACTGTCAAACTTGTTGTTTCTTGTTCAAACTTGTATTTACAAATTCACATTTCACATTCACAATGATGAATGAAGTAGGAAGGAAGTGCATATATATTTATAGTACTCTGTGGTGCAATGCTTAACTGCTATTTCTTCGTCGTCGGCAGTCGTCCGTGTAAAGTCGTGAACTGTGAAGTTACTTAAAGTTTTTAAAAATAATAATTGTAAAATGTCTCAAGGCATAATACTTATTTTGGATATAGGACGAAATGTTTCTGTTGTGGATGAAAAGGAGGAAAAAAGTTTTTTCCAAAGTGCTAGAGAATGCGCGGCTCGGATCATAGAACGTAAAATATTGAGCCAAGGAAAAAATCTAATTGGGATAATCCTAGTGGGATCGAAGACTACCAATAATAATCTTGCGAAGCAATTTGATGGAGCGTTCAAGCGCATTCAGGTCTTATCAGACATGGTCACTCCGACTTGGCAAATGATCAGACAGCTGCCGGAAAAGGTAATTAATTAATTTATTGCTTTTTGAACTTTCACTATAACTTTATATTATTAGGCAATTATTTTGAAACTTCATGATTACATATTGGTTCTAAACTCCATCCATAGCATTCCTGTTCTAAATATAAACCTAAAAATAGGTACTACAGGTGTGCTTCATTAGATATTACCCATATTTATCAGATAAGATATATAGAACATTATGTTGATGTGACACTCTAAACAGCTATCAGGCCTCGTTACCTTTGCAATCACATAAAATATTCCCCTGTGCATACTGTAATCCAACTCATTATTTATTTTTTAGCCAACAGAAACCAAAGGGGACTGGTTTGATGCGCTCATGGTTGCAGCGGACTACTATAAGAATGTGCTCTCTGGTGTCAAGTTAGAATCCAAACAAATTATATTGCTAACTAACTTCAAGAAGAAGACATCTCTTGATCCTGAAAATATTGATGAGGTAAGGTGCTATATTCCATCTTGCACACAAGGAGATTACACTCTCATTACACTCAATAAATCAATTTCCTTAACATTACAGGTCTTAAATGGATTCATAGATGAAGGCTATGAAGTAAATGTCATTGGTCCAGATATTGAATCTGAAGAATATGAAAAAAATGAGTCGGTACAATTAGTGAAGCAGTTTATTGACAGCACTGGTGGAGCAACCAGCACTATAGATAGCATCATGAAATATGACCTACTCTTCCATAGAAAGAAACTTGTCAAGGGAATGCCATGGAATGTTGATCTAAGTATTGGGCCAAATATAAAAATCCCAGTGTCTGCATACATCAGAACCAGGGATGAACCAGCAGTAAAAAACTGGGTTAAATCTGTCAAAGACTCTATCACAGGCAAGTCCAGCAAAAACGAATCTGTTACCAAAACAAAAGAATACTTCAATGAAGAAACTGGCCAGGCTGTTGATGCAGCTAATAAAATAACTGGTCACCATTATGGCCAGCAGATTATACCACTAGGAGATATTGATAAAGGTTTAATGTACCAGTCTGGAGTTAAATCCTTGTCAGTGTATGGTTTCACTTCAGCTGAAAATATTCAATGGCAAAACTTAAATGGTGATGGTTTATCCTATGTATTTGGTAGGAAGGGTGATAAGAAAGCACAAAAGGTTATCAGATGTCTCGTGGAATGTCTTCATGAACTGAATCTTGTGTGTATTGTAAGAAAAGTGTACAACACAAACAATTTGCCAAAACTGAATGTTCTTATGCCTGTGATAGATACTAACAATTATATATGCCTCTCCATGATTGGTTTATGTTACAAAGAAGAAATTAAACAAATGTCTTTTCCAACAACTAACTTAAAAAAACACAAATGTTCAGAAGAACAAGTGAATGCATTCAAAGATCTTATCAATGCTATGGATTTGACCAATGCATATGATGACACATTTGATGACAATGAAGCATTCCCTGTAGCAGAGTGTGTGAGCCCCTCAGTGCAGTATGTGCTGGACTGCATTGCTTTCCGTGCCTTGAACCCAGACAAACCATTACCTAAACCAAGGGAAGAGATAATGACTCTATTCAAAGTGCCTCCCTTACTGGAAGAGAATGCCAGAAAACCTCTGGAGAAATTAAAAACCTTATTCACTTTGACCAAGGTAGAACAAAAGAAAAGGCAAAATAAAAATCTTCTATTGGATAATGATCAACTTCAAAATCCAAACTTGCAAACTGATGATCCTATCACTCCAAATATACCTAAAGTCCACATGCCTACCAAGGAAGAGGTGGTGGATGAAATTAAAAGCATCAGTACTATCAACCCTATTGAAGACTTTAAAGCTCTGCAAAGTCAGAACAAAGATCTATCTGAACTAACCACTGCAATGGTCAAAGCTATAGAGAGCTTGATCCATAACAATATTGATGGAAAGTATAATAAAGCATTGGATGCAATGAAACACTTGAGAATGGAATTGATCAAATCTGATCCGACCGATTATAATAACTGGATAAAGAAATTGAAATCTGATTTGGTGGAATGTGGTAAAACAGAAGTACTAAATCAAATTATAGAAAATCAAGTCAGTTTCATTTTGAAGGCTGAGAATAGTTTGAGCAGTTATGACAATGAGCACAGCCATGAAGAAAGCCAGTTGTTTGAAAATGATACAATTCCTAACTCGACTGAATTGACCATCAGCTCTGATGTACTGAACATGTTTGATGATTAAATTAATTAGATACCTAAGTGATGCTGGGATGTGAGACAAAAAAAATATTTGTGGGTAACTTTAAGTTGAGAACTAAATTCAGTATTATTGTCTTTTTAGCTGTCCTTGGTAATAATGTTATTGATTGAAATAAATATTTTCGTATTGTTATTTATTTATTTGTTACTGATCCTTGTCTTACACATTTATATAAATAATACTACAGAAATTAGGCCTGAATATTTAATAGCACTTCAATAAAATCTAATTCAATTTGCACACAATAAATTCATGTAAATTTTGTCTTAGAAGGTATGTTTATGGGGATGGTCCATTGAGCAATCATTGTACTCCTGTCGGGCTAATTTTGTTTTGCGAATGGAGCAGCTCCAGAAACTCTTGGAGGGACAGATCCTCCTGACAGTCAGTGTCCAGGTCGTGTTCTAGTTGCGCTTCCATTGAGTTAGCCTCTGGGCTGAGCACAATATTTTCGTCCAAAACAACGTGGTTGAGCCGCGACTTGAGGCTCTGAAGAATCTCTTCCAGTTCCAAACACTTGTTTCTTATTGACGTACCGAGATCTGATGCGGGGTCTATGTCGTCTATTGTGGCATTCTCGGAGAATGAATTTGCTGGAGTACGCGTCCTTGGAGGCTGTATCATATTAAAGAGATTCTCAGGTATTCCGTTCCCGTTCCTCCCAGCCTCGGGAGACCGCGACTCTGTAAACTCTGCGAGTATTTCATCGATAATATCCTCAGCATTTTGTCGCGGGTCCACAACTTCTTCGGCTAGATCAGCGCCACTCTCGCTATTAATCATTTTATTATTCGAGTCCAGTTTCATGATTTGCTGCCGACGCAACGCTTGCTTCAAAATATCGATTCGATAGCAAAATAAATAATAAATATGAAGGGAAGGAGAATGTTGTCGAAGAAAGTCAGATGATTATTTATTTTTTAAAGATTTATTTTGACCAGACTTGACTTCTTTGTGTTTGAGCCATTCAGAACAGTGTTGCTGGTCTCAAAAAACGTATTACTACTATAAATAACTAGTTACAAGAAACTTTTCATAAATTTGTTAATTTTCAATAATAATGAAGATAGTAATCATTAAAATACATCTAAAAATTAATTATTACAAAATCGGCGTTGTGGGAAGAAGAGATCCAAATATGCTTCTTTTCTCAACTTCTTTACAATTTCTTCAGACTTCATTATTTTCAAAGCAGCCTTACAACTATTGTGAGCGTGTGCGAAGAAACAATCCCTCACCGACTGCCGATAAAATACATTGGTGTTATTAATTTAATCATTTAAAGCTCGAATTTAAATCAAAGAAGAGATTTACCTTAAATTCAGCAAGTTTGACGCCTTGAAATTTGGACAGGCAATGTTTGAATAAACGATTGTAATGTTTTCTGCATAAAAATATTCTATTTTCGAATTGCCAATAGTCGCCTTGTTGTGAGCATGAGCATCCACAATATCCACATTCATCTAAGTTATATGGAACGCATTTAATCTGAAAAACAACTTTTAACATAAAGTTACTAATACACTAAAGTCTAAAGCTACTAATATACTAAAGTCGTAAGTTACTAATATACTAAAGATACTAATATACTAAAGTCAAAAGTCAAAGCATTTATTTCAATTAAATCTTAATTAGGCACTTTTGAAACGTTAAAAATTGACTTGTCCGTCCGTCTGTCTGTCAATGAAGCCCTGTGTTTAGCACCTATTTCCTCGTGGGTTTACCCTCTTGGCTCAACATTATTGATCATAGAATGATGTTGTACAGCCTAATAAGCCTTCTTCGATAAATGGATTATCCAAAAAAAAAAATTATTTGTGTAGGAAGAACACTAGATTCTAGAGATTAGGGCGGTCAAACAAACCAACTCTTAAGCTTAATAAAAAAAAAGGTAGCTATGGAGATATATAGATAGATAATAATATCATAATATCTGCAAAGTAACTGCATTACTTACTAGAATAGTAAATATTAAAAAATATGACAATTGTGTACAAATATCCGTACCTGTACAGCACATCTCAGTGTCTTTTTACCGGAGAAAGAGTATACAAACTTCATCTGACGTTTTATATATTCGGGGCAGTAGTCACAGGGTCTAAAATATATTAAAGTTAGTCAATTTGTACAGACATGATTATTTGTTAGTCGATTCCAATTTCACGACAAAAAAAAATTGTGTTGTTTTAAAATTACTTCTCTGAATCGTATTCATCAAAGGTATAGTGAAACTTCTAGTTTTCAGAGTCTACCCTGAAATACCTATTGCTACATTTTTTTGTTACACAAAATAAAAACAAAATTAAGTTTCTTACGCGGGGTACAATGATGGGGAAAACATGCCCTTTCTCTTGGATGTAGAATTAAATGGTGCGCAATTTTGCTTAGTAGGTGTTTTTGGGCGCGGTTCTCGTGGCGGAGGCTGATATTCATGTTTCATCAACCACCGTGGTGATTTGGCTCCTAAACCATATTTGCTATAAATCTAAAATAAAAATAAAAGCGTTAAAATCTACTTCATTTTTTATATGAGTACCTGATGGTCAATGGTGGTTCTTTAATGTAATAAACATAATCCTATAATAAGTATGCAGAAATGATCTATGCAGATGAAGAAAGATATGGTAATTGTTACGATCGGTCTAAACGGTCACTCACAAATGTACATAGATAGAAATAGAAAAACAGTATAGGTAATTTAAGGTACTAACCCTGTCTGTCACATCAGAAAATGCATCACGTTTAGTCTCATATGTTGAAGGTCCTATATTTTCTCTTGTTTCTATTGCCATTCGTCGCATAAATGGACTTAGGCAAGGTCCTTTTAATGGCAACGCTATACGTTCTTGTGCAGAACCAAAACATATTCGTGGTTGTGGTTGCTGCGTAACGTAATATTCAAAATCTAGAAAGGAAAACAAAAGCACACAAATGAACACAAATGAACGAAAGTCAATTAAACACAAGTCCGCTGTCATTAAAAATACGCAGACGTCTTTTTCGAAATTTTACCGCCATGGAAAGCCTCCCTCATGTTATTGGGGGCAAGGTAACGACGCGTGTATGGTCTCTGCATGTTTGTTTGTTGCCTACACCGGTGTATACTGCCGACTAGACTCGCTTTTTCAAATCGCCGAGCTTTCGTGATTGTTGGGACCGGGGACAATAAAAAAATATGACAAATCCAACCATATTACGCTTTATTGAGGCGCACGCTCGCTGTCTGTTTAGTGTGGTCATATCGCATAGTTTTTTATTCAGGACAATGTTTTAAATGTTGGACACCTTGATAAACGTAACACGTAATGTAACACTGCCTCGTTGGCCGAGTGGTCGCAAGTGCGACTGCCGGGCAAGGGGTCTCGGTTTCGATTCCCGGGCCGGGCAAAGTATTACTGGGTTTAAAATAAAATCTCAGTAGTAGCACGGAGTCTGGAATTGTGCCCGGTATATGACAATAGGCTCACCCCCTATTACATAGGACTCATAACATAAATAGTGAAAAGTGGGTGTTACATTGTACAATGGCACAATGTGCACCTCTGCCTACCCCTTCGGGGATATAAGGCGTTTATAGTAGGTACCTAAATTTGGTTATTAAATCTTAAACAGATTCAGAAAACTATATTTATTTTCAGTCTTTTACATGAAGTATTTATTAAATTTAAAAAAATTAAGAAATGAATTTTAAAAGAAACAGAACAGCGTGGTTACCCCAAAAAATCAGCAATCGGAACGAGCGAATCATTTATTTACGACATCAAAATGAAAGACATGAAAAAATGGCAAAGGTCGTGTCGATGCAAAAACATAGTTGAACGTTTATTTATTACTTTATTATTCGTATATCCTTCGTACCTATCGCCTTGTTGACCTACTTTCAGTCGGAAATATTTTGCAGAACGTTAATATGTTGGCATAAAAAATGTGTCTATTTTTATGAGAAATTCTTACCTAAAGTGATGTCCCAAGTCATTCTGTTATCGTAAAATAATTAATTATCCAAAAGCGATTACATCAAATATGTGCCATGTTCCACGTAAAAATAAAAATCTGGAATAAATAGTTAATACCGAAAGTTAAATAAATTTTATTTGTGGGAAAGGGCGAGTGTGGACAATTATTCGATGAAAATTGAGTTATGAACAGTGAACCATGCTATTACAACTTGACGGTTCATGGAATAAGTTCGTGCTATCACAGTCACGCGATTGCTAATACAATTTGTTTATCATTACCTGCGGTTACTTTCCATTTCCAGAAAAAAGACTATCTACATGATTGAACGTAGAGTATTTTATTTTTATAGTATATGTAAGTAAAGTATCATTAATTGGATCTCCAGTTCATTTAAAATATTGACAGATTTTTTTATTCATTAATTAATAGTGATTAAGTGCCGTAAATGTCGTGGTGGCCCAAAGGTTTAAGACGCCCGTTTCTCATGCATGAGAGGGTTTGAAACCTACCAACGGCAAGTACCAATGTGGCTTTTTCCGAATTATATGTACTTTGATCATCTAGACACCACTGACAAACGGTTAATAAAAATATCGTCAGGAAACCTTGAAAGTTTGAAATCGCTAACCCACAATGAGCAACCGTGGTGATTAATGCTCAAACCTCACAAGTGTGAGAAGAGGTTTTGCTTAACAGACTATAAGTGTATAGTACGTAGATAATTCAAAGGTTTAATAGTAAGCAGTCGATTTGAATCATATCTTAATACATTTTTTTTAAGGTGGGAAAATCATCGAATGACTGCCCCCGCCTGGGTGAGGCGGGAGGGAGTTTCAGACTCTTACTGATTAAAAACCACTCCGTTCCTTCTCCTGTACGTCGAGCCGGAGCCCCGGTAACCCGTTAGGTTCTCCACAACTCTTAATACAATATTTAAAGGCACCATTTGAGTGTTGATGACGATTAATGAAGCTAATTTCGCCTTTTTTTAAAAATGCTTTTTTGAATGGCTCGTAAGAAATTAAATATATCATAATCTGCACGCCCCGAGAAGAAAAGTTCCCTGAAACTTTTCAAACGTCTGCGTCGCATGCCGCAATATGATCATATTTGTTGGATGAAGATACATTTTATTATCAGCCGACATTGAACATGGAGAGAGAGACAATGAAAAGATTGCTACTAACTACCTACTCGTCCAATAAAATTATATACACCTACCTATGTAGTATGTATTTACATTTGAAATGACTGACAAGTCAGAAATAATTTTATGTCTTTGTACTTTTTTTGCATCATATTGTGTAGATTTTTGAAAACATTATCAATTAGGTATCTATTTTACTATTGAATTTACACAAACCTTTAGATAAATCTTGATATAAATGGAAAGAGTGTAATAAGTGTATAAATGGGATCAGAATTGTCAACATTGAATGTCATTTTTTGTTTATTCCATTGTGTCCTATTATCTCATATTGGTTAGTTAGAGGTTAGATACAATTTATTTTGTGGTCCAAGAAGGTGTACCTATATTGAGTTTCATCTTTTAAACAACGTCGATGTTGCGTATGTGGTTATTTGTTTTCGTAATATGAATGAAGTCTGTAAACAATTAATATGGTTTATATTATCATAATTATATTGGATGGATGATTAATGATTTGGAAATGTTTAATTTTTTAGGGATTCTAACCGATAGGTACAGGAGAATTCTACCATTTTCTTCGATGTAATTAATTGGTAACACTGTTAGCACAACTCATTGTCTCATTCAGTCGCTCATTGCCATTCGTTCAACTTCATATTTTGGTGTTTATTTCATTCATGCAGTTTATGTTCACAGTTCACAGAATAAAAAATATTTTCTTCTGTCGAAAATGCCCGTGGTGATTGTTTGTTGAGATAATAATACACGTGAAAAATTGCTTCAAAGTGTGTTATTGTGTTGGTGCAACTTATTTTTAGCAGGTGTTGAAGGTTGTGGGTAAGTAAATGATATAATTGTTCTGTGCGACAAAGTATCATATTACTTGTGAAGTAATTTTTACTCTAGATATTATGTCATAGCTGCTAATAGATTGTTTTATGTAAAATCGGCATCGGTACAAGGTAATTTGTGGATCAGCATATTTTTGATGATATATCTAGGCATGGTGGTGATTTATTTGTGATGTTTTCTTCAACTTTCCCTTGAACACGTTATCGAGAACGTTGAGAGTGCTAACTATTACATTAATTTCTAGAAGTTCACAGTTAGATGTTGTTTGCACAAAAGTTCTATTGCCGACATATTTCCTATTATTTTATATTGTAGCTGCTAACCAGTAGTCATTAAACTTTACAAATTCCTATCGAGCATTGTCAAAATTATTGATATATAGTTTATGTTTATTTTTATTTTGTACAAATCTGCGCAGAGGGGAATGAGAGGGAAGAAGGGAAGGAAGGCTCAAAAGGACAAATCCTAGGGTAGTATTCTGTGCCTGGGGCTACAAAATTGTGAATGTGATCGTGTTTATTGATGGTGCACTACATATTAAAGAAATAAATCATAAGCCACACTGTTTTTTAATAGTGTAAAGAAATAACACATGAATAAAAAGACATCACAAGACATCTACTACTGAACAAATCCCTCCCACAAGGACTTTCAAACAAAATAAAGTTAAGATAAATCTAAGCTTGTGATATTTTTTTGTTTCAGAAAATGCACAACAAACTTATTGTGCCTGTGGCCTTGGGCCTGTCTCTGGTGACAGTGAGTGCGTTTGTAGTGTATTATGTATTTAAAAAAGACGAGGAAGAGGAAGAAGTAAAGAAAGTAAAAACTGCAAGAATAAATATGATTGAAGTAGCTGTGCCTAAAGCTATTGTCGCTGGCTTGATAGGTGAGTTAACATTTGTTGCAAATCGATCTACTACTGGACTAACGATCTCCTCAGGTAAAAGGGTTCGCCATAATCTCTATGCTTGGATTTTAAGCGAGGAAAATTATCCTATGACTTCTTTCGCCTTGTTTGAGGCAACAGAGAGTCAGATTTACTAACTTAAAACCAACCTGTTCCGAACTCCTGCGTTTAGCCGGAGCCACAATAATCATTTAGGTTGTCTGCAGCTCTGTCTATGCTCTACTTGAGTGATGTTGCAGTTTAAAAGATTCAGGTGTATATGAGAGGGCTGTCATTGAGGTGTGTCTGAGGAGTCTGTCAGCTGTAAAGTGTGCAGTCCTTTAGTTAACATTTCTAACACCCTTATGTCGGAATACTGAGACGCTACTCAATTTTAAGTCGTGCTTGAGAATAGTTCTATCACCTCTAATTCTTTGTAAAATGACAGAGATGGCACGATAATTGATCACGACTTAAAATTGACTAACGTTTCAGTATTCCGGCATTAGAAAGCTTAGTGTGTTGACAAAATGTATTTTACTCTAAAGCTAAGAGACCTATATTACTTAAGAATGAAATAGCATTCTACTGACTTATTGACCTAAATATTGCACAATACATATTATGTTGACATAGGTAAGTAAACTAATCTTTTTTACTTTAGAAATTAGTACTTCATCGGTAATGGTAATGACATTGACTGCTTCAACATGCATGAGGAATAAATACCTATCTACTGATCACATTTTAAGAGTAGATGCAGCACAGTTTTTTATACATATTTTCAAGTTCAGACTCATGTAAAGTAATCGATTTTAATAAACATGGTAGTCATATGCCATATATTAAGGTTTAAAAAGTTACATAAACAATCTTCGCACAAAATGCTTTCCTATCATTTGAAAAAACTTAATGTGAGTGTTATTATTTTTCCATTATCTTAGTCATTAGGTCATATAGCATTTTGATGGATGAGGTCATTATCTTATCTCTTTAAATTAGTCATCCTAAAGAATAGATCTTTAAACATCTTAATTTTCTTAGTATATGTTGTTATCAGAACCCGCTCTAGTTATCAAAATTAATATAGGACAATACATAGTATACTGTCTTCCCGTTGCAGTTGTAGATTCTTATATTGCAAATAAACATTTAGAAGCTTCTAGTTTTGACGTCATTTGTATTCTCATTATAATACTTTAATTAATTTAAAATTAAGAAACTAACACAATTGTGAATAATATATACAATTTAAAATTAACTAAGTAAGTAAATTAAAAAAAAAGAAGAAAACAAAACTAAATTTTCATTACCATTTAATGGCAATGCTTATTTTCTGTCCTAAGAAATAGCCAGCACTCTAGCCACGAGTAGAGTCGATTAGCCTACGGGCAATTTCTTTATAAACAGAATGTGCACTGGGTGCAAGTGTTTCCACCCCGAATGGTTCAAAACAGTAGTACCTACTAGATTTGAATATTTACGGCGTTTGAGGGTCTCTGCCGCGCAAACGGTCGCACCAGCGCATGCACCGCGTCCCACGTCAAAGGCCTACCCATTTTCCAAGGCAGCAACGACATACCATTCTGGCTTCTTGCCGTCATCACGCACGAGACCACTAGGTTCTAATACGGCTGGCTGAGGCAAGAGCACGAATGATGTCGTTGATGCTTGCATGGCGAGCTATGCGACCTGTACTTCTGCAGCAAGAAAGATTGTATTGTATTACTGCTTTTGTATTGTATACTAGCTGACGCTGTGAACATTGCACCGCCCTATAATCAAGAAATATCTCTTTATTTCTTACATAAGAACCTTCTCCTAATAATAACAAATACAACAAAATTGAATTAGTGAAATCCGTCCAGAGTCCAGCCATTGACGCGTGATGCCGTGACTAAGGGAAAAAGAGATTCATTTATATAATTATAAATACACAGAAGTAAATTCAAAATTAGCTACGGAAACTTTATAAACAGTTACAAATAAATAAAATTAATGTACATTGACGTGAAACACTAACACGTTCGTTTTATTACCGTATGCTTGCTATGCAATAAAATTTTCAGCTTGTAACATACTCGTTTTAAAATAGAATTATGAATGAATGTATAGTGAACTGATACATTTATGTTTCGCTGCATAACAAATAACAAAGTAGAAAGTTGTTTATTTTGTAACTTAGACATAAATACAAGTTATGGAGACTAGAATTTATATCTATAATTGCGTATCGCTTTTTTTCTTTTTTTTTTAAGGGGGGAAAATCATCGAATGACTGCTCCCGCCTGGGTGAGGCGGGAGGGAGTGTCAGACTCTTACTGACTAAAAACCACCCCGTTCCTTCTTCTGCACATCGAGCCGGAGCCCCGGTTACCCGTTAGGTTCTCCGCGATATCGCTAATAACTTATTATGATACCTTTCGTTAGTAAAAAATATCAATTTAATAGTTTGAAACCAAGTAACCGTAAAATACATCCATATCTTTAGTGAAATAATTAAACTTAATCTAAACAGATAGAAAAAATTTGAGTGTATTTTTGTAATATTAAAACAACTGCATTTTATACTACATGCATATGACTATACATAGGTAGGTACGATACCATAATAACATTTTTAAAATTATTGTTTGTGCTGGGTAATCTCTTGAATGGCTGGATCTATTTTACCGAGAGTTTTATAGGTTAAGAGTAATAGGCTATTTTTATTATGAAACAAAAAAGTTTTCTTAAAATTCAAATTCTTCGCGGGCGAATTCACGGGCAACAGCTAGTAATGAATAAAATAAGCAAACACTTATCACTTAGCTAAGTAGGTACTTAAAATGATATCGGAATTGATTTACAACAGCTATAAATATGCATTAACCAACTTATTGTAATGAATTTATCTTAATGCACCAAATCCGACGCGTGTCCTCTAAAAACGTGTTTAACACTAAAAATGAGGTCCTTACTTTTTGTTATTGGAACGTTTTTAATCGGAATAGAGTAAAACTCCAATGCAGTAAAAATGGTGGTTATAATCTTCATTACTTTAGGATATCTTTAGGAGGTCAGGTCAGGTTCAAGTGTTACGCGGTGATCACAAACTGTTGAGAGCATCGAAGGATTTTATATTCGTACACCCCATTTCTTTCTTATAAATTCTCCTATTAACGACTCGATTGTAACAGTTATAACATTTCACAGGAGATGAAACGGAAAGGCATGTTTTTGAATAGAAAAATATGAGGCATGTCCAGTCAATCTCTTCACTTTAATTAATTAAATCATTAGTAGATTAAATTCAGTTAATAGGCTACACAATTACAAATCACCACTTAGCCATACTTACTAGTACCACCCATCATATAGATGGTTGGCAGGCCACAACTGTGCGCTTCACACTTTGCTTTCTGCCTCGCACAGCAAAACTGTGGAATGATCTGTCTTCGGCGGTATTTCCGAACCGATACGACCTTCAAACCTTCAGGAAAAGAGAGTATTCCTCTTTAAAAGGCCGGCAACGCACCTGTGACACCTCTGGTGTTGCGGGTGTCCATGGGTGGCGCTAATCGCTTACCACCAGGTGATCCGCCTGCTCATTTGCCTCCTATTCCATAAAAAAGCATCGAATAAGACAAAATGGAATGAAAATTATTACCCCATTCGTTCGTTATAGAATAAATATTTAGCTCTGAAAACTACTAGGTACTTGTTCTATCTTTCAGTCGATGACACATATTATTACGGCGACGCAGTGTCATCTCAATTTGCATCTCAACATCTGAACATAATGTAGGTACTAAAGTAAATGTATTGCATCACCTGCGGTAATTCGTCTTTGAACGAGGTCGTCTCAAGTGATTTTAAAGGTTTTCCTCTATTAACTAACCATGGACTGTGTTTATGTTGCTATTGAATGGCAAAAGTTGATTTTAAGATGTGTATGGGCCAATCCGAAATACATATTTTTTAAGAGAAAATTGATTCTAGGTAAGGTCTTGTACATAAAACTGCGATGCGACGTCGCATCGCAAAAATGTGCGAGCTCCCTCTACGCATTTTTTTTAAACTGTCAAACACCAAGCGGTCACCGGTGACCGCAACCTATTGTTCTTTAATTGTGTCTATAATGACGGTATTCGACGAGTTAAGGGGTGAAAATCATCAAATGACTGCTCCCGCCTGGGTGAGGCGGGAGCAGTCATTTGATTGCAGCAGGGTGTGTCAGACTCTTACTGACTAAAAACCATCCCGTTCCTTCTCCTGCACGTCGAGCTGGAGCCCCGGTTACCCGTTAGGTCCCACTACGCATAACAATAACTGGCGAATTGATTAGCATTGCGCATCAAAACCTTATCTTCCGAAAATCTTCTTTGTTTCTGTTTCCTGTATCTCCTAACCAATAACAAAAGTGCATACTTCTTTTTACGATCCATGTCACGGCCTAGGTTTCAATTTAAAATACGTTTAGTATGGTTGACGGTCGGCGAATGAACGGTCACCCTGGGGGACGTCTTGTCGTACGAAGTTGCATCGCAGCAATTCGTCTCGTAATTTTCTGCGTTGCGAAATCGCATCGCCTCGCATCGCAGTTTTGTCAACGAGCCCTAAGATATTGCTTTCATTTTTCGATTCTTATTGTAAGGGAAGTTCCCTAAGCGAAATTCAAGTGTCGCATAACTCTCTTATCGTCAGGCAATATACTAACTGATTTGTGCTATCTTTGTAGGTAGGTACTACTACCTGTAAAACTACGATACATCATTTCATAAATATCACTACCCTCTGCTTGAATTACTAAGGCTTCTCTGACAATGAACTGTTACAACGTAACACTAATGTGTGAAAATTATATAAACGCTCTTAAATAACTTAGTACAAGGTTGATATTTGTTTGTCTATCTATGAAGGTTAGAGAAACTATTGTGAATTTGATGAATCTGTGCCATCCTGGATGCTAGTTACTTGAAATATTGTCAATGTATCTAATCATCTCATATACGAATGCTAACACATCAGTCTTTCCCAAACTGGCAAAATTCTTCAAAACAGACTTAGGACATTTTGTAGTTGTTCAAAACATTAGCTTTTATAGAAAACGAACAGAATTCGGTAGTATTCATGTCTATTTACTAGTAAATATAGGTCAAGAAGTAAATACTAAATAGATAACGAGTGGCCCAGATGATGTATTAATGCTAAATTTAATGCTATCCGTTGTACCGATGTCTGGATATACATAGTTCCACACGTGCGCGGTGCGCCTGATGTCAGCGCTAAACGAAGGTTAAAATAATAGAAAACAGACTTCATTTCGTGTTTTGTAGCACTGTGTAACTGTATTGAATGCAGTTGAATGTTTCAAAACATAACGCTAAATTCGAATGATCCGGAATATATGGTAAACAGATGTTAAGAAGCAGATGCTTCTCGATATTTCGAATTCTTTAAAGGTAACATAACATCACGCCTTTTATCCCCTAAGGGGTAGGCAGAGGTGCACATTATGCCACTGTACAATGTAACACCCACTTTTCAATATTTATGTTATGAGTCCCATGTAATAGGGGGTGAGCCTATTGCCATATACCGAGCACAATTCCAGACTCCGTGCTAATACTAAGATTTAAAAAAAAATCCCAGTAATACTTTGCCCGGCCCGGAAATCGAACCCGAGACCCCTTGCCCGACAGTCGCACTTGCGACCACTCGGCCAACGAGGCAGTCTTTCTTTAAAGGTGTGATCATAATGTTATGTTATGAGGGAGCTTTCTGTCTCTTAGACCTTCGTATGTTACGTCAAGGTCTTCCTAAGTCTCTCTTTATTACTTTCATTGCTAAAAAGCTTTGCAAAGACAAGGATGAAAGAGTTTAAAGAAACTGACATTTTAATTGAGAAGTAGCCACTCATGTTCTACATTTGTAAGAGAAGTAGGTCACATTCTCTCCTTAAAGACATAATATTAATATCTATATCCTTTCTTTACGGGTCTTGTTAACGAAAAGCCTCTAAGAAGTTATCGTCTCATAGATTCAAATAATTTGCGCGAACACTATTAATCATAGGTTATTGCTGTAAACAATACAATCCTACAGGCTGGGTTGGAAAAACCCAATAATAAAATTATGTGCCGATGTTATTGTCATTCTATTAATATGTTACCTATGACCTCGATTAGTTTAGTGGATTTGTAATGCCTATATTGTTATAATCACGTCATCTCGTTTCTTTATCGAAAGTATTGTGTATGATCTAATATCAAATTATCATTTGAGTTCAATCTATCTGCCACACCCCCTTGATATCTATCTATAAAGTTCACTACAAATAAACGACCAGTACCTATACTACAGCAGTACATACATAATAACACCACGCCTTTTATCCCCGAAGGGGTAGGCAGACGTGTACATTGTAACAATATAACACCCACTTTTCACTATTTATGTTATGAGTCCCATGTAATAGAGGGTGAGCCTATTGCCATATACCGGGCACAATTCCAGACTCCGTGCTACTACTGAGATTTTTTGAAAATCCTAGTAATACTTTGCCTGACCCGGGAATCGGACCCGAGACCCCTTGTCCGGCAGTCGCACTTGCGACCACTCAGCCAACGACGCACTATAGCAGTGTTACGTGTTACATTATGTTTATATAATTTGTGACATAAGTCAAGCCTATGTAACATATTGTGTCTTCTCTGTTTCTAAGTATTACGTCTCGCTTTCGCATAGCATGCCGCCTGCCAATAAACGCGCCCTTGTACTTTCACCCCGAACTTTGTGACAAATCACTATTACTCATTACACAAAAAAAAAAATTCAAGATGCTTTTTCTTTTAATGTTATTGCGTCATAACTACTAAACGAAAAGAATAGAGAGAGTGATCATTAGACAACTCACTCTGCCTAAAGCAATATAATTTTATAATTTTATAGATCGGAGATGGCTCAGACAATGAAACAGCTAAATTTCCATGACAGATCGCTGTGTGACGCAGGGTACAAAAAAAAAAAAGAAAAAAAACGCGTCATAATGTAGTCTTATTAAAATCTTGGCACAATATTAGCTTGACAAATGTGTAACTTGTGTTGTAGTAACAATTATTGTAAACAATTTCATTGAATAGTTTATCTCGATTAATCTTCTAGTATGACGCTCGTATGAATGAAATCACCGGCCTAAGCTTCGTGCTAATAAATATGTATTAAATAAATCCGGATAAACTGAATCCGAAGGATTTTGGCATATAGATAGAGTTAATTTGAATAGTTTGTAGACTTTTATTATAGGGACAAAACTGTTAATGCTATAATGTATAATTAATGTTATACATTTATTTATAGAGAACTATGGCTGTTTAACACGCGAATTGTGGGTGTTGTGTTGGGTTTACAAATAAACGAGCTTGTTAGAATGTCAGAATATTTAATTGAGTAAATAACTTACTAACTAATTTTAATATAAATTATTTCTCTCGATTACCTTGTCGTTCCGATACAGAACCTAAAATAAAGGATAGTATGGTCTCCTTGGATCACTCCTTAATTAAACAGCACTGAACGAAACTGATAAAAAGTGAGTGTTCTACATATAGACAGTTAGGTATAATAGTATTTTGTCTAAAAACAAATATTTTATTGCCATGGTGCCATAAATTGGGAAAACTATTTCTCCAAAAGTATTCGTCAGTCGCCAATGACGCAATGCTCTAGTATCGGTGATGTCTTAACATCTACGTTGATAAACAACTTGGCAGTAAGCCGATAGACAGTCATCATGCACTTTTAGTCAGAACTAGCGCCAGTCGACGCATTATCAGGATGTGTATAAATATGAGCAGGTGTTCTTGAAACTGTTTGACAAATTTCATCTAAATCTAGTTTCTACGTCATAAATTCTATCCATCATCACTGGTTTTCATGATTATTATAGAATATATAGAGGGCTTTTTTAAGGGGGGAAAATCATCGAATGACTGCTCCCGCCTGGGTGAGGCGTGAGGGAGTGTCAGACTCTTACTGACTAAAAACCACCCCGTTCCTTCTCCTGCACGTCGAGCCGGAGCCCCGGTAACTCGTTAGGTTCTCCGCGAGATATAGAGGGTTAGATACTCTCATTGGTGTATTTCATTGTTTGTTACTCAATTATATCAAAACAGCTGCAGGGATCGGGTTGAAATTTGGAATAGGGACAGATTTATCCAGACCATAATCTGGAATCTGGAATATGCTCTAAATCGAGTTAAATTTACGTCTCTGGATTATTTTGTCTAAATAAACAATAAGGAGGGACTGACAATAG